TCTATCTATCTATCTATCTATCTATCTATCTATCTATCTATCTATCTATCTATCTGTTTCATTTGTTGCACTGTGTGTTCAGTAACGTCACTGCAGTTGGAAAGAATGCATTTCTACATCTGTCTGCTCTTGCTCTTTGGGAAATGTATCGTTTTTGTTTTTACTCGAGGATTTACGTACAGGACGGAGGTGCCACCTTTTAAATAACCCAAGGTCCCTACCACCGCACTACGACAGTGCTGTCCCGGGTAGTGGTGGGCAATATCAGGATAACCGTATAATTCTCAGTGAAACATTATACAAATTCCTGACTCTTAAACTCAACTCTCTTTCCTGACAAGTTTTTGGATGTGGGTGCACCCATTTGTTGAAATTCTTCTAACCCATTTGCCGAACTAGTTCATAACCAATTTAATTGCCGAAGAGGTGCACTAACATAATAATATTATTGTCCGGATTTTGCAGAAATCGACTCATTGCCCTACCCTAGTCCCGAGACAGACTTGTACTGTCCCACAGCCGATTTTTTCGTATTGAAACAGGCGTCAAACCCGTACACTGGCAATGTATCTCAAGGTATCAAAGGGAGACAAGAACAAAGATCAATGTCGGACGTGGCCCTGGTGTTTAGTTCTAGCACCGTCGTGTTTCTCCGTAGGAGGATTTTATTGACTGCGTCCAAACTCCCATTTCCTTGTACCTCTTCTACAAATCCCACCTCATCCCACCGCTCTTTAATCACATCTCCCGACTCAGGAATGAACCTATAATTATTGTTCTGGAAATATTATTTTAAAGGCGGTGTAAAGTCAATAGCCCGTGACAAAGACAAATTGTAAAGCAAAAAAAACAACAAAAATCTTTAAACAATCATAGCAGCTGACACAAAAAGGACAGTAGAAACTGCTTTGCTATGACGTCAACAGATTTCTTCACCTGATTTACAACGCCCGCTGCCTGGCATAAACAGGTGCTTCAGGAGAAGATAAAACAGATAACTATCGCCAGGAAGGAGCCACAGGCGTGATAACTATTTT